CCAGCAACATAGCCATTACGCTAACTGCTGGTTTCCTGGCAGCTTATTTTCTCACTTTCCTTCTCTCTCTCTGCCCCCCTCTGGTCAACTTAAAAAAAAAAGTAATAAAATAATGACAATGAATAAAATTAAATAATTAAAAAAAAATAGGTATTTGTGAAGAACAAGACCAAACCTCACAATAGTGCTGGAAGGACTCAGTAATGGTAGCCAGAGGCCGATGTGGAGTCACATAGGAACCGACAGCCCCAAAGCTCTGACCACTCACCAGCGATGCCTCCCTAAGAAGCAGTCTCCAGGGGCTAGCAGGTGGAGCAGTGGTTATGGCCAGATTCCCACTTGGCTCACAGAACCTGAAGGCTTGAAACTCATGCCGGGCACCTGTGCAGCAAGTGTGCCTAAAACCCCAGGAGAAGGGAGAAGGAAGGAGGGTTTGCATTTGGGGCCCATACCCCCAAGTCTCTGGTGAGCACACATACCCTCTGGCAAAAACCTCAAAAGAAAGAAAGAAAGAAAGAAAGAAAGAAAGAAAGAAAGAAAGAAAGGAAGGAAGGAAGGAAGGAAGGAAGGAAGGAAGGAAGGAAGGAAGAAAGAAAGAAAGAAAGAAAAGGAAGGAAGGAAGGAAGGAAAAAACCCCAGGAGAAGGGAGAAGGAAGGAGGGTTTGCATTTGGGGCCCATACCCCCAAGTCTCTGGTGAGCACACATACCCTCTGGCAAAAACCTCAAAAGAAAGAAAGAAAGAAAGAAAGAAAGAAAGAAAAAGAAAATCTTCAGAATGTATCGATTTTGTTTTTTAGATTTGCCAGAGGGCACATGTGCTCACGGAAGAAAGAAAGAGGGGGAAAGCAAGAAAGCACCCTCTTGGGCATAGTCATGCTGCTCTATCCGCTCTCTCTCTCTCCCTTTCTTTGGGACCCTAGGTATGCATGCACATGCACCCAGCATGTCTCCCATGCTGCTGGATCTAAGACTTGAACACTGCGTTAGGTCACATGTGAACTAGTTGATTCATCCACCAGGCCACAAGCTAGCCTCATAGGATGTATTGATCTTCAACAGCCTTTCCAGATTATTCACAAAGATGAACCTGAAGGAAGCCAAAGCTGGGACTTCTTCTTCTTCTTCTTTTTGCTATAGGGTATGCATGCTCATCAGAGACACATGGAGGGTGCTGGAAGAGGGTGAAAAATCACCCCCTGGGGAGATAATCATTTTGTAATCCCTCCTCCACTCTCCTCTCAGGACTTCTGTAATACACACACATATGTCTCGAGTGTTTTTCAAGCCACTGGATCTGGGACTCAAACTACGCAGTTGGCCGTGTAGGATCAAACTGCCTGGATCACCATGCTACTGGCTGGCCTCAAAGCTCGAAATTTTAAAAAACAGGGGCCAGGGTCAGCAGGTGGCATGGTGGTTAGGGGTGCTGGACTCCCACATGGCTGATCACCATTCGAGTCCTGGACCTGGAGGCTTGCTTTTCTTACTTTCTCTCTCACTCTGTCCCTCATACATGCTGGGCGTGTATGTGTGTTTGTGTGTGTCTAAAATCCCAAGAGGAGTATGGAGGAGAAGGAGTTGTGGTGTGGCCAAAATAGTGCACACACACAGTGCACCTGGCAAAAACCTAAAGAAAATAAATAAATAAAGTACAGGATCTACAGTTATTCTTTTTTGGGGGGGAGAGGTTTCTGCTATAGGGCACATGTGCTCCCCATAAAGACAGAGACAAAGAGACAGAAAGCGAGAAATCACCCTCCGGGGGGATTGCTACGCCGCAATCCCTTCTCCTCCATTCTCCTCTTGGGATCTTGGGGACGCGCGCACATGACTCAAACTACAGTAGACTATATGGGAGTCCAGCAATGTAGCCATGATGCCATCTGCCAGTCCTGAATCTATAGTTATTCTAAATGCTGACTGAGAAAACACACTTCAAGCTCCCTGGTTGAAAGGAAATTCTGTAGCTCTTTTTCAGGCCTTGTATTATCTGATTTCTCTGGTATTTGGTATTCCTGACTCCTCGCTCCTTCTTATACCTTTCTCCTAACCTGGTTTTCCCACACCCCCTCCTCGGTTCTCTACCCACTTTTCTGGCTGCTCTTCCTGTTTCCTTCTCTGACTCCTTTCCTGCTGGCCTCCTCCTAACTCTTGGTGTCCCCGAGATTCTCTTTTCTTTCTTCATTTGCCTACATGATTAACTTTCTGTGTGGATAGCTTAAATTGCCACCATCTATATATTAATCAGCAGTTTCCACCATGCTCCTCTTAGGGTCTTAGGCACACATGCCCAGTATTTTTTTTCAAGAATTATTTAATTTAATTTTATTTAGTCATTCATTTTAATTTGACCAGAGAGAGAGAGAGAGAAAGTGAGAAAGCAAGCCGCCAGATCTAGGACTTGAACCATGGTCAGCCATGTGGGAGTGTCCAGTGCCTTAACCACCATGCCACCTGCTGGTCCCTATCCAGTATATTTTTCTGAGTTGCCAGGTTTGGGACTCGAACCTCTCAGTCAGCTATGTGAGATCCAGCTGCTCTAACTTCCATACCAGCTGCTGGCCTGGTTTCCAAATCTCTATTTCTCATTAAGGTTTTTCTTCTAATGTCCAACTGAGTAATTATTAACAATCTACCATACATGTTAACTGTGTTACAAGCCTGGGTTCATTTACTCTGTACAAAACCCCTTTGAGAATTAGTACTATTATCATCGAAGTTTTACAACTGAGGAACCAAGACTTAAAAAGGTTACAATGTGGGCTGGCAGATGGTGGGGGTTAAGGGTGCTAGATTCCCACATGGCTGACGGTGGTTTGAGTCCTGGACCTGGCAGCTTGGTTTCTCACTTTTTGCTTCTCTGTTTCTCTGTCTCTGTCTAGTCAAGTTAAATAATAATAATAACAACAAATGGAATAAAATAAATAATTCTTAAAAAAAAAAAAAGGTTAAAATGTTAAACAACTTTGGGGATAGCAGGTGGCATGGTAGTTGAGGTGTTGGACTTCCACATGACTGACAGCAGCAGTTCAAGTCATGGTCCTGGTGGCCTACTTTCTCACTATCTCTCTCTTTGTCTCTCTCTGGTAAGCACGCACGCCCTATAGCAAACTTTTAAATAATAATAATAATAATAATAAGGACCAGCAGTTAGTGCAATGGCTATGTTGCTGGACTTGCATGTAGTCGACTGCGGTTCAAGTCCCGGACCTGGTGGCTTAAACTCATGCTGGGCACGTGTGTGTGCGTGCCCAAGATCCCAAGAGGAGAAAGGAGGAAAAGGGATTGTGGCATGACCATCCCTTTTGGGGGGTGATTTCTTGCTTTCTGTCTGTCTCTGTCTTTCTGGCAGTGCACGCACCCTATAGCAAAAAACTCTCCAAAAAAGAAAAAATAAATAAAATAAAATAAATATGATAAAAAAGCTAAATAATCAGAAACAAAAATGAATGTGATTCAATTAAACTTATCTCTAAAAAAAAAAAGAAAAAGTTAAATAACTTATCCAATAGCCAACCTAAAAGATGAAGAGTAAGACGGAAAAGTCCCTGCCTGCATAGCCCTTTTAGACCTGATGGAAACAGAAATACTAAATGATTTCACAAATATCTATTCATTTTAGTTGTGGTATAAAGGAGTACAGGATATATTCTATAAAAATGTACCATAGAAGGGCCTTACCCTGGGAGAAGGAAGGAGGTCGAGCCGTCCGAGGAGGCTCCTTGAAGAAGCCCCACTGGAACTGGGAACAGACGTCTGTGTAGAAATTAGCTGGGTAAAGAGAAGGGTAGGAGAAGGAGAGAAAGAGTGGTCCAGATAGAGGGGCAAGTAGGTCAGCATCAGTGGGACGGTGCAGGAAGACTGAGGACAAAGGGCTGGGTAAGGGGAACTGAAGTTAGAAAGACTGGTAGAAGGATTATATAGGGCCCAGCAGGCCAGCTTAGGAGTTGTGTTTTAGATTTTTGCCATAGGGCAGACCCACTTGCCAGAGAGGACAGAGACAGAGGAGCAAAGTGAGAAATCATCTCCTAACGCGGATGACCTCGCCACAATCCCTTCTCTATTTTCCTTTCAGGATTTGAGGCATGCACAAGTGCTTAGGTGTCTTTTTCAAGTCACCCAGGTCCCAGGCTTAAACTGTGCGGTTGGCCATGTGGAATCTGTCACCTTAACTACCACGCCACTTGCTGGCCCAGGAGTTTGTTTTGTTTTTTATTATTTATTTATTTAATTTCATTTGTTATTATTTTTAATTTGACCAAAGAAACAGAGAGAAAGGGAAAGCAAGAAAGCAAGCTGCCAGGTCTGGGACTCCAACTGCAGTCGGCCATGTGGGAATCCAGTGCCCCCAACCACCATGCCACCTGCTGGCCCCTTGAAGTTTGTTTTTTATCCTAAGACCAACAGGAAGGTACAACAAGGTTTAAATGAGGGAATGCTGTCATCAGATGTAAGCTGGTACGGAGCAAGATGGATGCAGGAAATATAGGCTGGAGGCTCTCCTTCAAGGTCCTGTGGAAATGCTGCCCTCTGTGAATCCCACCTCAACACCCATCGCAACTCATCACCTTCTCCTGCTTACATAGAGACTATTTATCTTTGCATCTGCAGTGCCTACAGGGCAGGTGCCCACCAGGTCAGTGTTAGTCGAACGACAGTTTAGTTGCACAAGCAGCCAAGGAACAATGAAGCCAGTCTAATCCAAATCTAATTCCCTAAAAATCTTAAAATGAGTCACAGCTCAGGAGAAGACACAAGTGTTGGAACTGAGGATGCCAGATGGTCAGTGCCTTACTCTTCCTGGTAAATGGATTTTAATAAAATCAACATCTGCTCTGTGATAATTATTGCCCCCCATCTTTCCTCTAAAGACCTTCTCAGACAGTTTGAGTCTAATTACCAGAAACTGCAGACAATTTCGTCTCTACCCTTTCTCGCTGATGATCAAAAATGTTAGTAAACTACGTATAAATGAAACAAAAACTCATGTTTTTCTGTTTTTGAATCCTTCCATACAGACCATGTTGCTTTCCTGGGCTTGTCTCCAGGCTCCAAGACTGGCAGCTGTTTCATGGTGTCCTATGCACAAGAAAGAAAAACACTTTTAGATGGTTATTATTTTCTTCCTCCTAAAACACAGAATGAATTAGGTCACCCCTTCCCTCCTTAAACCTTTCTTGCTGGGGTGGCCCCATAAGGCAGTGGTTAAGCACTGTGCACTGGGAGCTAGATCCCATACGACTGATCTCAGTTTAAATCCAAGCCCCTGGAAGCTTTAAAAACACATGAGGCAGGGACCAGCAGTTAGCGTAATGGCTATGTCGCTGGACTCCCACGTAGTCGACCGCGGTTCGCGTACCGGACCCGGGGGCTTAAAACTCACACTGGGCGTGTGTACGTGCGTGCCCAAGATCCCGAGAGGAGACTGGAGGAGAAGGGATTGCGGTGTGGCCATCCCCCCAAGGGGTGATTTCTCGCTTTCTGTCTCTCTGTTTCTCTCTGTCTGTCTGGCGAGCGCACGCACCCTATAGCAAAAACCTCTCCAAAAAAAAACAAAAGAAAAGAAAACACATGAGGCATATGTGTGTGCATGGCCCAAATCCTGAAGGATGGAGGGGAAAGGATTGCAGCATGACTTGATCCATTGTGGGGGTGCTTTCCCTGGTGAGCATACATACCCCCGGCAATGAAAATAAACACTTTTCCTGTTGAGAGTGTGTAGGCCTTGATAACTTTGAATAATTATTAAAACTTATGAAATAATCTTAGGTTTGGCAGGCAAATATAATACAACTTTCTTCATGCAACTACAGAAGTTTTGGGGCTGCAGTTTTCTATCTGTGATTCTCATGGGGAACAGGCATATATCAAAATAAAATTTCAGCCATCCTACGCCATTTATCAGAAGGTAAAATTTCAAAAGACTGAGAAATACTTAAGTCTCGGATGAATCTGGGTTTCAGCACCAAATACAAGGCAAGGCCTGTAGTCCCAACCTTTCCCTGGCAATTCACCTCCACCACCTTCAGCAATGTCGGGCCTTTTGCTGACCCTCTACCACTGCAGGCCCTTTCATAACTTGCAGCCTGTCTG